TCATTGGAGGAACAAATACATGATATATGTCACTTGCTATATACAGAGGTATTGGCAAGTGCTGGCTCCCTTGCACATCACTAAGGGAAGGTGACAATCATCAACCATTATCACTGCAATCTAAAAAGGAACACGAGAAAGTTGTGAGATGAGTGGTGGCTCTGAGTGAAAATCTTCTAGGACTGATGGGATCTTGGAATAAGAGTGTGGTCCTCATCTCTGTAGGAGGGAGGAACAGATGCTGGAGAGTGTGGGCAAGCCCCCCTACAGGGAAGGAGCCCCACATCTCAGACTAGAACCTGTGTGCTTCCTCTTTTTAATCTTTCTAGAGCACTAAGTCAGAACTCAGCATGTCTGTCTCATGTTTGTGATGACCAGATCGTTTAGCTTCCATGATGACTTCAGTCTTAGAAGCCTTATAAAGTCCGCTCTGAGGTACCTAAGCCAACACAAAGTCATCTTGTGAAATGATAATTCCAGGCCTCAGACCTCAGGGCATCTGAGAGAGAGGATATTCTTGACAGCTCCTCAACTGTTTTGTGCCTTTTCTTTTCTTATTTTTTTAATCTCCAGCTCTGATTCTTCCAAAGGATCTTCCACTCAGTGTGTTGCAACAGAGAGTTGTATTTATGGGAACACAGAAGACTGGGACCCTTCCCACCTTTGTTCTTCACTGTGACAAAATCACTTCCTTTTTTTCATCCTTGATGACCTCAAATATAAAATGAAGGGTCTGAGTTGTAAGACTGCCTGCCCGCTCCCAAAGTATCTTTTATCCAGAAACTGTATTTAAGTATATCCTTTCTGCCTCTCCAATGCCCTTCCATTCCAACCCACCAGCTATTATCTTCCCTGTAAAGCTCTTTAGACTGCGTCCTGATGCTGCTCCAACAGCTCCACACCACAGGGCTTAGGGCTTAAAGCAGAAGCAGGTCTCCTGGCTTCCACACAAGGGTTGGGCTCTGGGTTTGTATAGTTCTTCCTGTTTTGACTATGATGAAGATGCTCTGACTCCATATAGATGATTCTCCAAAATGGGAAAGACTAAAAGGACAAAGCCTGAGCTTGTTCGGAGTAGAGGCAACTGGAAAGCCTTCTGTAAGCCCAGCTTGGCTCCTGGAAAGGTGTCCTAAAACGCCAGCATAGCCATCTTTTGCCTTAGGAAAAGACTAAAGAGGACTTTCCTGGGGACAGCTGCTGAGGGCCTTCTGATAGACCCTTAGGATGTTCATCATCCTTAAAGGGAACGAAGAATGGCAATGGGACAAAGAAGAAACAAACAGAACTCTTCCACGCTGGGCAGATGTCCAGTTGTCAATTCAATGTGGCTCTACAGAGACCTCTAGCGGTAGTTTTATCAAACTGCGATTCCAGAGCTGCTTTGAGCTCTGGGCCTTGTGGGTCCTCCTAATCCCAGAATCCCAGTGTCTCCCCTCAGTTCTGCCTCAGCAAGGCACATAGTAGGGAAGAGTGTCTACAATGCACACAGGACAGGTGGACCCCTCCCATGACGTTATTTTCTAGAAAACAGATACTATTTGCTGTAGTCTCACCAGCACATCTTTATAATGGCCTCATGTCATTTCACAGCTTAATGGAAAAAAATACTAAAAAAATCCTTGCTATCCCCACAGAGGGGAACCTACTAACAAAGGTTTATCCTAAACCTCCAAGCTAAGTTCTTGAGCTGGGATTTGAACCACATTGTGGCTTCACAGCTCACTCTGCCTGATCAAAATACATGAAGGCTATCTGAAAATCTGTGGCATTTTCTGACTTCAGGGCCCCTGCCAAATCTACACCAGACACCTGGCAAAGGATTTCCTCAAAGAAGGGTCATTGGATTCTTGAGACAATAGTTGGATTTCAGGAAGTGGCACTGTGGCTCAAAGTGGTAGAGCATTAGTTCGCCTTGAGCAAAAAGTTCTGGGACAGCGCGTAGGCCCTGAGTTCAAGAACCACAACCAACAACAGAGAGAGAGAGAGAGAGAGAAGAGAAAAACTAAATTGGTTTTCTGAAAGGAAAAGAATGAACTTGCATTAAGCCTTTCTTCAAAAATTAAAAACTGTGGGGGCTGGGGAGGTGGCTCAGTGGTAGAGCGCTTGCCTTGTATCCCTGATGCCCTGGGTTCAATTCCTCAGCACCACATAAGCAAAAAGAAAAAAGCCGGAAGTGATGCTGTGGCTCAAGTGGTAGAGTGCTAGCCTTGAGCTGAAGAGCTGAGGGACAGCACCCAGGCCCATAGTTCAGACCCCACGACTGGACTCTCCCCCCCCCAAAAAAAGAAATTAAAAACTGTGGGTTTTGTTTAAAACAAAATAATTTAAGGGGAATAGAGTTTAATGAGATATTGGCAACACATTTAATAACCACATGGTTTCATAGACTTAGTACATAGAGTTCTCTATGATCTCTCTCTCTCTCTCTCTCTCTCTCTCTCTCTCTCTGTCAATCGGGCTTGAACTCTGGGCTTGGGTGCTGTCCCTGAGCTCTTCAACTCAAGGTGAGCACTCTACCACTTGAACAACAGCACCACTTCTGTTTTTTGGTGGTTAATTGGAGATAAGAGTCTCACAGACTTTCCTGCCCAGGCTGGCTTTGAACTACGATCCTCAGATCTCAGCCTCCTGAGTAGCTAGTATGACTACTATGAGCCACCAGCACCTAGCAAGATCATTTGTTTTTGAATTAGCCTTTTTATGGTAGGGTTTTTATAACTGTCCCTGAGCTGTCCCTGAGCTTGTATGCTTAAGGTTAATTAGTGCTCTACTACTTGAGCCACATCTGCACTCAGATAAATTTTTTTTTAATGATCCCCAAGAAACTGAGCACTGTTGGCTGATGCTTATAATCCTAGCAACTCAGAAGGTTGATTGAGAAGAACAAGGCTTAAAGCCATCCTGGGCAGAAAAGTTTATGAGATTCCATCTCCAACTGACCATTAAAAACCTAGGTTGGACTCATGACTTAAGTGGTAGGGCACAGTCTCAGTTCAACCCTGTGTACCGTACCTACACTCCCTTCCCCACCCAAATGCCCGAGGGCTGGAATATATACTTCACTAGCCGAATGTATGCTAAATCTGAGGCTCTGAGTTCAATCCTTCATATCACCAGAAAATAATTAACTGGACATAAACAGTCTTTAGTCAGAATGTTTATTAATTCATTTATGTCATTGAATTTTGTCTAATTTTTGCAATGGATTTTTCTTCAACCCACAACATACCTCCATGTACTTGGAACTTGGACTGGAGACAGAATACACTGTATCTATTGGCTAAGGTTTGGTAAGGACAAATTATCTTGGTGAGTAACACATCAACAACCTGACCTGGACATCTGGTAAATGTACCCACCTGGACTGTGCAGCTTCAGTCACATTGATCATGACCTACTTCTACTTTTTCTTTTTTCTTTGTGCTGGTACTGGAGCTCGAACTCCAAGGCTTGAGCCCTTGCTAGGCTTTTATTTTCTTCTTCTTTTCTTTTTTTCTCAAGGAATCAGTCTTACCACTTGAGCCACATCTCTACTTCCGGCTTTCTGCTGCTTAATTGGAGATGAGAGTCTCAGATTTGTCTGGCTGGTTTCAAACTTGATCTTCAGTTCTCAGCCTCCTGTGTAGCTAAACTGCACAGATGAGCCATTGGCGCTCCAGTTCTACTTTTTTCTTTTCTTTTCCTGTCAGTTGTGGAGTTTGAACTCTGGCCCTGGGTGCTGACCCTGAGCTCTTCAGTTCAAGGCAAGCACTCTGCCTCTTGAGCCACAACACCACTTCCAGTTTTCTGGTGGTTTACTGGAGATGAGTCTCACAGACTTTCCTGCCTGGGCTGGCTTTGAACTGCAATCCTCAGATCTCAGTCTTCTGAGTAGCTAGGATTACAGGTGTGAGGCACTGGCCCCTGGCTCTGGATCTGATCTACTCTCTGGACCAAGGCTTTCTCCCAAATCTTCTCCCTGTTAAGAAGGCATCAATCCCTCTTTGGCAGATGTTGGAATGGGAATCTCACAAGAGAAACTCAAGTTGTGGAGGAAGATAATTCTGTGTTATCACATCAACAGCAGCAGGAGACCAGGCCTCTGGTTTGCTTCTTGCACCTGCTAGCTGCCTTAACTCCAGCATCACCACTGAGGACTTATCCACCCCCTAACCCAGTCCTCAGGGCGTCATTCTTAGGACTGTAATCATCTCAGCTGTATGAATAGCCAGCATTGAGCTGTGTGTGATTGTTTATGCCAATAATCCCAGTACTGAGTAATTAGAATGTTGAGACAGAAGGATCATAAGTTAAAAGTCAGCCTGGGTAACTAGTGTGACTCTTAACACACACACACACACACACACACACACACACACACACACACACACACACACACACACGGGCGCCCACGCAAACAAAAACAGAAAGTACTCACACTGGGCACCTACACAAAAAGTAATCTACAGCACCCTCTGCTGGCGAATTAGAATGCAACAGGAGAACATTCTCCAATTGAATACTAAAGGAATCTCTAGAACTGGCTGACTTCACTGTGGGATAACTGGATCTGGCCTGAAATATGGATGTATTTTATACAGTGCCCAATGCTAAAAACAGAATGCACAGTAAGCGGACAAAGGAAGAAAACTAGACAGATGGTCTCAACCTAGTTCAACCACCAACTATGCTGGCATCCAAGGACCTGCAACAAAGGCTGGATCCTGGCCATCCCTCACATTCTAGGAAACAATAAGCTTTCTGTCAATAGGGAAGAATGGCAGATTCCCATCTTGTTTTGGAACCACTGGCTGCTGAATTAAGAGTGGGCAGGGATAAAAACACAAATGGATTCCAACAGTGGACCATGAGGCATTCTAATATATATTATCATCTATGTTTAAGAAAACAAGTCCAGGGCTGGAGGCATTGCTCAGGTGATGTTGAGCTTACTTAACAATGCAAGGCTCTGAGCTCAAATCCCTTACTGCTAAAAAAGAAAAAGAAAAACAACATGCTTCGTTAAAATAATGCTTTTAATTATTAATGCTTTTCATAAATCTACTTCTTTAAGTTGAATATAAATCATTTGTCTTAGCAGAAGGGTGTGGATTTCTGTTCATTTCTAGATTTTAAAAATGATAGCTCATATTGAACTTCTTTTCTTGTTGCCACTTAAGAATTCAATAGTGTGATTCCGGTCCCCTGTCATCTTCTGAATCAAGTATACAGGTAATAAAGCTATGAAGAAATCATTTTAATGCCATGTTATCTTCCCTCAGATGCCTCATTTAGGCAGCAACATTAGGAGCTATTTAGAAATTTAGAGCAGTTGAGGATCACTGTTAAGAGTTTTAAAAGCCATGGCAAGTCATTGGGTAAGGAGCATCTAGGCTCTAGCTGAAGCTAGCTCACACTTGGATTAACTCTTCTTATAAAAGAATACCAGACATATACAAAACTTCCCTTTTCCCCTTTCTTTTGCAATCCCATTCTGAAGCAAATACAAAGAATTGTATGTACAGAGGACTCCAATGTAGTATCCCCCAGGGTGGAGAAATCAAACTCAGGAAAAGTTTGATAGAATTGTTTTGTTCTAAGTAAGTATGAGCTTGGAATATAAAAAGTTTAGAAAGTTCTCTACAAGAAGTGGCTTTGCCCTACATTGATTGGATCAATAATTTCCAAGATTGTTAAACATCAATGAGCATGCGTAGAAAGTTCCATCTATGGTCACCACTGCTATTTCTTTGGGATTTACATAGATGCTGTAATGGAGTCAGCCCCTCTGCACCAGGCTCCAGGAGCCTGGGAGGTGGCAGGGTTTAGGAGGGTACCCTCCCAGCACAGTGGCTTGCCAGTAATTTAAAAAAAAAAAAACAAAAAACTTCTACTCAAATTACCTTCTGCTGCCAAGGGCCATCTAAATCCGCTATGTACATTCCAAGGGGAACCACTGGAAAAATACGGGGATTTAAGGAAATAAAACTTGTTTTCTTATAATGATATTTCTTGATGAAAATGGCTTTAAAATATTGTCTTAAAAATCCAGCAGCTATATATTCCAAGAACTTCAAGGAAAGCAAACCAATCAGCATGTCATGGAAAAGTGGCGAATATAGGAAACTTCCAGAGAAATGTCGAGTCCTGGAAGTGTGCATGAGCCATAGTAAGGAGCTTCACATGTGGTTCAACTCTCCGTATTCTGCTTCATCTGCAAAGGAAAGGAGATGATAGTTATCTCACTGGATTGACAGTTCCTAAAAGTTGATTCTTCATTCTCAGGAAGTGCTATAGAAATTTGTGACTTGATAATTCAAGATTTTGAACAAATATCAACTATTTTAGAGTACCAGAGAATGTCTCACATTGATCAAAAGGCAGATTCCTAAGTTCTGGTTTCAGTGGGTGGAGGGCAGGGCCTAGGATCCCCATTTGAGCACCTCACCTCTCTGGGTATGAGTCTGCCATTTTAGTAAAATACTGCTGGGATGCATAAATGGGCCAGGTGTCACGGCCGCTGTCCTTATCTCATGCAAGAAGACTTTCAGAAGGTTTTATAGGCAACAAGAGTTGAGAACAGCTGGGGTCATGAGCATTTAGGGCAGAGGGTAGTGATTAGCCAATACCTACTATCTAATGATCCAGAGCGCAGCCAGGAGGCAACCTGCCCTACTTTCTGTTGCAGTTGTGGTCATCACTGACCTGGAAATCCATCTCCAGAGAAAGGACACTGGGCAAGTTTGCAAACCATGTGTGACCTTTGTTTTTTTTGTCGTTGTCTCTGTTAGGACATATCTGGACCCACCAGAGGCAATGAAATGAGGCATAGCCCAGCCTTCTGTTGCACAGACTTCACTGTGATAGAAGGTAATGCCTATCCTTCTGAGAGCTGCTTTATCAAGGATCTCAGCAATACTCCATGAAAACATTTAAACCTTACACTCCATATGCAAATTTGTTCCTGGGGTTTGATCCACCAATCCAATGAGGCAAACCACATTCAAAGAGGTCTCACATTAGCCCTCACATTAGACGTAGAAGGAAGTCCCAGAATGCCTGTGAGCACTCTTCCCCTGCCCCCACTATAAGAGGTTCTCCCGAGAACATGTAGTCCTAGCCCTCAAGAGATATTTCTGTAAATCCACCCTGCAATCCAGTTCTGGCAGCAGTGTGGAGGCTGGGGGAGCTCCCAGTGCCAGAATCTGAATGGACCATCAATCATCAAGAAGCACCTGTGTGGGGCTGGGAAGGTGGCTCAGAGGTGGAGTGCTTGCCTTGCATGGATGAGGCCCTGGGTTCAATTCCTCAGCACCACATAAGCAGAAAAAGCCAGAAGTGGTGCTGTGGCTCAAAGTGGTAAGAGTGCTAGCCTTGAGCTAAAGAGCCCAGGCCCAGAGTTCAGATCACATGATCGACAAAAAAAAAAAAAAGAAGCACCTGTGCGAGACAGCATCTAGGCCCTTTCCATTTCCATTCTTTTTTTTTTTTTTTCCACTTCTTTTTTTTTTTTTTTTTTGGGCCGGTCGTGGGGCCTGAACTCTAGGCCTGGGCGCTGTCCCTCAGCTCTTCAGTTCAAGGCAAGCGCTCTACCACTTGAGTTACAGCACCACTTCCAGCTTTTTCTGCTTATGTGGTGCTGAGGAATCAAACCCAGGGCCTTATGCATGTAAGGCAAGCACTCTATTCTACCACTGTGCCACCTTCCCACCCCTTTGGCCCCTTCCATTCTTAGGACTCTGAGGCACCCTGCCCTAGGGAGGGACAAGAGGGAAAAGAAATCAACCTTATCTCTGAGCCACAGAAAAGTGCTCAGTTGTCTGGACAACAGAGCACGCACTTCTATTTTACTCATTCACTGTGGAGCCCTGTGAGAAACAATTCTGTGTTGTTATTAACACCCGCACAGCCCTTGGGCATGTTATTTACACAAAGATAACTGCACTTCAGAGACTGTTCTGTCCTGTGAAGGGAAACTCTAACCTCAAAGAGCAGCACACCGCCCCTACTGCTGACAATATGTGCTGCCTGGTAATAACTGTGCAACTGTGACCTTTATTTCCTATAGAGATGCTCTGCCAGCTCAGAGGAGGGTCAGTGGTCCATGCCTCTTCTCCTGCACACATGGCAGCTAAGTCAGTGCCAGGGCATTTGATTCTTTACGCAGAGTTCCTAAGTCTTTGTTTCAAACAAAGACTAACAATCAGCCAGTGTTTCCTAAACATCTTCTCTGGGTTAGGTACTGTTCTCAACCATTTAAGATAAAAATATGTAAATAAAAAACTAAAACTTGGGACGGGGGAGGGGCTTGAATTCAGGGCCTGGTGCTATCCCTTAGCTATTTTACTTAAGGGTAGTGATCTGCCAGTTAAGCCGCAGCTCCACTTCTGGTTTTTGATGATTAACTGGATATAAGAGTCTTACAGATATTCCTGTCTGGGCTGGCTTTAAACCATGATCTTCAGATCTCAGCCTCTTGAGGAACTAGGATTGCAGGCATGAGCCACTGTTGCCAGGCTAAAACCTGAGATTTTATGTCAAGAAATTCACCATTGGAGCTGGAAATGTGGCTGAGTAGTGGAGTGCTCGCCTAGCCTGCATGAAGCCCTGGGTTCAATTCCTCAGTACCACATAAACAGAAAAACTTGGAAGTGGCGCTATGGCTCAAGTGGTAGAGTGCTAGCCTTGAGCAAAAGAAGCTCAGGGACAATGCCCAGGCCCTGAGTTCAAGCCCTAGGACTTGCAAAAAAAAAAAAAAAAGAAATTCACTATCATGCTGGGGAGTAAATATCATATCATGGACTGTTCTACAATAAAACAAGAAGCAAAGAAAAGAGAGAGAAAGTAATGTCAAGAATTTAAACTCCCAGATGAGCTACAACATATAAGCCTAGCATACTATCACCATCCTAACCACCCCACAGAGCTACTGATCAGCATGACTGGGAAGTGTACTGTGTTGCCCTGGAGAGGGGTCCCATCAACTCCCAGAAAGGAGACAAAAGGAGTAGGTGGTAGAACATTAGGTTAGGAGCCAGATGGAGGCTCTGGGGCAAGAACACAGTGAACCGAATCCAAGAACTGCCATCTCCTCGCTATATGATGCTAACTTTGTGCATGGGCGCTTCATTTATAGTATCTGCCTCATATGGGTGTGGTAAAAACTCAACAAGTTAGTTAGTACATGTGAAGCAATAATCACTGTACCCAGCCAACAAAGCTAGCTGCTATTGCTGTTATTTTTGCTGTTAGTATCACCTTCCCTCAGGCTGATAGATGCCAGATTAGCTAGAATTCCTGGTATGATCTGTAAGCATACTAGCCCTTTGTAGTCCTTCCTCCAAATCCTGACCTCACTCTAGGAGAGCAGCTCAACTCCTCCCAGTCCTCTCCCATCTTCAGATGCCGCTCCTCCTCCGCTCTCTCTGGCGGCCTCCTTTGGTCTCAGCCTCCTCCCCTGTACACATTCACATCTCAGTGGGATAAGCCACACATGCCCACAGTACAGAGGGCAGGCTCATCTGCTCAGAGTTGGATGTGGAATATCCACAGTTGAGAGCATTAGATCAGATTGCCGTGAGAAAATGCCACCATATGTCATAAAGGGTCTGTCCAGGGCCTGATATGTACTGCCTTCAAGTAAGGTCTCAACCTGATATTTAGGCCTATAAACTAGAGTTCAGAATTCTATGAAGTTGAGTGGAATGTTCTTTCCATTTCCATTAAGCTGTAGTGTAACAGTGTGTCTGTGACTGTCTAGAACAGCAATAGAGAAATCACAAGTCAAGATGGTGGAGGAGAAGATGGAGGCTAAACAAGCTCTCGCATAGAAAGCAGTTTTAGTGTTCCAGTGAATAGTCCTAGGCTAGAGAATCACACCAAGTGTGCCATCACAGTTCTGACAAATGTCTTAAAATTGTGTGTGTGTGTGTGTGTGTGTGTGTGTGTGTTTGTATGTGTTCACACAGTAGGGCTTGAACTCAGGACCTCTTTCTCCCACTTAACTTTTCTGCTCAAAGCTGGCACTTTACCACGTGAGGCACATCCTCACTGTCAGCTCTTTACTCTTGAATTGGAGGTGAGAATTCAATGGACTGGCTTCAAATTGAAAAAATCAGATCTCAGCCTTATGAGTACCAAGATTACCAGTGTGAGCCACCAGCACCCAACTTAGAATACTGCCTTTCATTTTGAAAGTTACAGATCCATTACTAGGTCCTATATTATTTAGTCTTTATTTAAAGGCTTCCATATTACTCTATGACATATTTAAAATATTTCTATAAATGAATTTTAGCACTATTTGTTTCTTTTGTAACCCTATGCATTTCACCCTATGAATTTAAAATACTATTCTGAGAAGGGGTCCTAGGCTTCACCAGCCTACCAAAGGGGTCCACAGCATATGAAATGGGTGTCCCCTTAGAAGGCACAATAAAACGGATAAGGGCTTCAATATTAGAAAAGGAAAGATTTGTAAATACTTACTGAATTGTGACATTGAAGTATTCTTCAGGTGTCACTATTTTTGGCCCACCAAAGTAGTTCTGGACCCAGATATTGGTTATATTTAACTTAGCGAAGTACCAATTATGGCTGGCAGGCCAGGTTTTCATACTAGGATGTCGAATGAATAATGATTTCTTTGCAAAGTCCATTTCTGCTTCACTCACCTAAATGACAAATGTGAAATAAACAATTCTCAGAGAAGTAATATTTTGTTACTTTCATTTGTTAGGAATATCATTCTAGCATTCTGTGAGTGAATTTGTTGTAAATCCTGATCCTAAAGAATTAAGAGCAAATGAAAGAAACCTGAAGAAAGCAGAGAACAACAATGACTTCAAATGCTGGCAGTCTCAAGTATAACAAAATAAGAAGCCATTATGATTATTTATTTTCATTGCTAAGCAGTAACTTTGAGCAACCACAGTAAATGACACAAAGTACTACAATAAAATGCTACAGGTGCCTGAGATACATCCCATAACCATTATTCCATCACATGATGTAGGTGTTAAACACCTACATCAGTGAACCTGAGGACAACAATCTTTAGAAGAAATATAATGGAACCAAGGAACATTGCTGTTTTTCTTCAGTCAAGTACACTCAACATGCACACACAGAAAATTTCCAGGCCATAAATCAAACTTGTCTGAGGTATTCATGATTGTCAAAAATGCAAAAATTCTACTGGTTCGGCAATCAGACAATTCTCAAGACACTTTGTCCACTGCTCTCCCTATGATTTTATTTAAAGTCTTCTCTCCAACACTCAACCCAAATGTCCAAATTCATATCCAGCTTTCCTTCTTTGCTTACTTAATATGTTCTCTGTTCTCAGCCACTATGAAAACATGGACACAAGGAACCCAGCCACACTAAATGTGGCTCGATGTAAAACACAACAGAGTCAGTAAGCTGTGCTTGAGTAGATGCTTCTTAGAAGAGTAATTTTATGTATGGGCTATATCATGTTTATATCTGTTTGACTTCAGAAAAAAATGATTCATATGCCTCATAAATTTCCCAATGAATACCCATATGACACAAATGTCTTGGCATATTAGAATATAGTTCTAACCACACATCTCAATCACAAATCAGCTGTATTTTATTCTCCAAGGATCTCTTTTTTCACTGTTGATACAATGATGCTCCTCTAAACCCATCTCTCTCCATGTGGAGAACTATTTACCTTGGTCACAGTTCCTGACAGCATTATGTGAACACAAAGGGGACTCTGGGGATCATATCCATTTTTCCTGCAGAAGCTGGTCTGTGCCAAAGACAGCATCAGTGTAGCATTTGGATTCTCCTGCAGAGAAAAAATGAAGACACTCATGTGAAATACAGTTTCTGAAGAGGAGATAAATTTTACAAGTTGCATATATAATATCCCTAGAGCTGGATCTTTCTTCCATGAAATAATGAATTGTAACCACCACCTTCCTCTCAGGATAAATAGGACTTGGATAGAGACTGATTCTAAGTTCCCCAAAACGGGTGGAGAAGGCATATTTAAAATTAACTAATTCTATTAGCATTATTTTTGGCATATTTTAAAAACTCAGAATCTGTTCTATATGCACCAGAGGAATTATAATTGCGGTGTCACCCAAACTCAAGGCTGGTGACAGTGCTTATTGAAATACAGGATCAAACTCTGATATGAAACAAATGCTATATATATGTATATGTATATATAAAAATATATAAAAATATTTATATAGAATATATTAGCATATTAATATATTTATACATGTACATATACATATATACATGTATATATGTATGTATATATATATATATATGTGTGTGTGTGTGTATCACAGTTGCCCAACCATCTAATTACACAACTGAAGCAAAAAAGTAGCTAAATCATGCTGCTCAGTTATCTCATGGTGACAGAACTGTCATGGCTCTCAAAGCTGAGAGAATTCTTACCTCACATTCTAAACATAAATCAAACAACATTCTCATTTCTTTCCTACTCTGAAATCAGCTTCATAAAAACATTGTTAACGTTACTGAAATAGCAGTTTAGAGTATATGGCTCTTAAGACTTTTTGTGGAGAACTGTGGTCATCAAAACAGCAGGTCATTTAGAGAGCTTATTAAAATAAGACAGAAAAGACACTAACAGAAGATCAAGTAGAGAAAGAGAACTGGAAGGAGGAAGAGGAATAAGAGGAAAGGAGAGGGGAGAGGAGGGGGAGGGAAAGGAACAGGGAGAAGAGATGGAGACAACAGAGACAGAGACAGGGGAGGGGAAGAAAGGGCTCAGAGAAGGTCTCTCTTCCCTCTGTAAGTTTATGATCATTTGAAAACTCAGAAATAATCAATACTTACAAAAAACAAACAAAGATATAGCATTGTCTGAAAGGCAGACCTATCTAATTGCCAAGACCAGTAAAGTATCAGCAAAGTTCAGCATAAGGAGACAAAATTGTAGCCAAGATAGATATAGCAATCATAGAAGGCCTTATAGTCAAAATCAGGACAGAAGTGGGATGGTGTATTAAAGGTGGGGGACAGAGGGCAGACTGACCTGGCAAGAAAAAAAACAAGCAAACATAGAACTGAGCACACAAAACAAGATAGAGAGCAAGGAGAACGCCAATGCAAGGAGAAAGCAAAAGGAAAACTGGTGGGACTTTGGAACTGAAGCATCTGGACATGCAGTGAGAACCCCTTGTTTACTGAGAATGCAGTTCCACTAACAGAAATGCAGACCAAGGAGAACTGGTTCCTCAAGGAAGAGGAAGAGTGTCAGGAGGAAGCAGAAGGACAGAACTTAACAGCTAACAGCCAGAAAAAAGAACTTTGAAGAAGTCAGAAATGCACACAAATTGGAGAGTCATCTCAAATAGGTGGAAGTGAAACCTCAAATGTATATACAACCCTCCAAGGTTGCTTTCAGTTGGTAAGAGAAAAATGGATTACAAGTGACCAGATAAAAGAGAGTCATATCACGCATGTCAAAAAAGGTGAATAATCTTAAGTCCTGGTGCTAAAATTCAAAGCACAGATTCCAATTTCAGACTTGCTAGACCTATAGACTATCTTTGTACCATTACCAGCTAATACCAGCAATATCTTCCTCCAAACATTTCCTTTCTTCTTTCCTTTCCTTTCCTTTTTTTTTTTTTGTGCTAGTACTAGGGCTTGAACTCAGGTCCTCAAGCTCTCATTTGGCTTTTGCACTTAAGTCTAGCACTCTATCACCAAAACTCCACTTCTGGCTCTTTGCTTCTGATTAACTGGAGATAGGAATTTTGTGAACTTTCCTACACAGGCAGGCTTCAAACTGTGATTCTCAGATCTCAGGCTTGAGGCACCAACACCGAGCCAAACATTTTCTATACAACTCCCCCCCACACACACACACCATGCACACTTGCAGATGTGTACACACACACACACACACACCATCATGCAAGAAGACCAGCCTGGTAGCAAAGTACATCTGGGCCTCAGGACCTAACTCTCCAGGACAAGCATTTCACATATGGTCCCACTGGTCCTGTATCTGAGTCTCCTTGTTCCTTCGGAAGTAGTTCACATCCTGCACTATAAGAAAACATGAAATGTTTCCTGGTGCTCTGAAGAGAGAGGAAAGGTAGACAGTAGACACCAACTTTGACTACTTATGAAAATCAGTCATACAAATCCTGATGTCTCTTTACTGCCTTCAGGGAAACCTGAAATTGTGGGTGGGTTCTAAGGAATGCTTGCAAGAGAGATAACTCTTATTTCTTTCCAGAGACATCAAATACTAGGGGCTGGATCACAGGTGAGTTTCTGCACTGCTGTGTCTTACTATCCTCATTTCTGCAATGAAGATAACACCACAGCTCTCAAGACACCTTTCTAATTTACATGTGCTCATATATAACAGTGGTATTTAACTTGTCCCTCCCTCATTGGAATCATAAGTGAGGGGGTTTTTTTTGGAGGGGGGAAGGGAATAGGTGTAAAATGTTTTGCACTGAATTTTTAAATCTTCCCAGGTGACTGACTTGCAATCACATAGAGGACATCACTGATGAAGTACATGAGTCTACATTGAGCAAAGGCCTAAAGGAGTGGAATGGGCTGGGAATAACTGGTGATATGTGGTGTATATGCAGCTGTGGGTAATTACTTCTGGCTTTGCTTGGAAAATGTAGGCCTCCAGTGTCACCAAATCTTCCCCTTTTTCAAGAGAAGCTAGAAACTTAAGCTTTTAAGTAAAATACTCATTTTGAAATTAATTTTGAGAACTAATGTAAGTTTATTTAAGACAAAACAGAACTTTGTGAGGGCCAAAGAAAACTAGTCTGTGGCCATATTCTATTGCCTGTGGTTTGAAGGCAGTTGAACTTAAGAAAAAAGCCCTCAGATTTGGCTGCTGGCTTTGAACTATTTACTCTATCTGAACCTCAAATTCTTCATCTGCAGAATGCATAAAGTAAAACCTTACAAGTTATTACAGGAGACAATGTCTAGAACTTGAATGCTGGTGTTTAACTGAACACCAATTTCTTTCATCTTTATCAATAATGTTCTTTTCCAACACTGAAAATCTAAAATCTTTGTCCAAAAGATCTTCCACGAAATCAGGCTCTATCCTGAGTTCCATGGGGCTCTTACCTCTTAGGCTATGTGTTTGTGAGACACATACACCTAGGACAGCTGAGGTCCACCAGATTTGTGAGCTTTATCCTGTCCCAGAAGGCCTACAATGAGTGAAGAGGAACTTCAAGCCATCCTACTCTCTGCTGAGGAGAGCAGTGTACATATGATGGCCTAAAGATTGCAACTATCATTCCTAACATTAACATCCCAGGGCCTCTATACTGCTAGGCCAGCTTCTACCTCTTGAGCCACACCCCAAGTCTTTTCTACTTTTAATCTGCTATTTTTTGTTGTTTGTTTGCTTTCAGAAAGGGTCTTGCAGCTAACTCTGCTTAGGCTAGCCCTGAACTGTGGTCCTCACGTCCCAATCTTCAGAGTGCAGGGAATTATAATTGTGTGCCAAGAGCTAAGAAGTTTTTGGTTTTTGCTTTCTTGTGGTACTGGGGACAAATGCTAGAGAAGTGTTGCACCAGTGAGCTTCATTCCCAGCCTGGCTTGGGGAGGGGGGGGGAGGGAAGAGCGGTTAAGAAAGCCTCTAATCACATAAGCAAAATGCTTCACAATCTTTAAGCCTGGTTAAAACAAACAAATAAAAAAAACAACACTAGAAGACCAGTTAATAGAAACACTATGCATGCCCCAAGAGTATTCACAACTCCAGTGGGAAGTCCTTCAGGTACCGGTGAAAATTTACCCAAGTGCTTCGCCTAGCAAACATCTGGGAGACTACCATTCTCGCCCCAGTCGAGAGAGCAGAGTGGAAACTCCTCTCTGGGAGCCACACTGCCCGGCTGGCAGGCGCGAGCTGGCGCCCGGGGCCACGGCGCCCGGCGAGGCCGCGCGGCGCTCCCCGCTCACCTGCAGATTTTGCGCGGTGAGCATCATCGGGCTCAGGTAGAAGTAGGGCACCCCTCGGCCCGCGGCCGGGGGCCCGTCACTCAGCGACAGCACGTCCGCGAAGGGCCGGCCGCGCACCTCCTCCAGCGTGGAGAGCGTGCCCAGCGAGCCCCAGTCGCAGAGGTGCACCACGAAGCGGGCCACTCGCGCCGGGCTCTCCTCGGGCGGCGGCGGAAGCAGCTGTGCAGCGGGGTCCCAGTTCCCGTGATCCCGGCCGCCGCGACCCCGTGCCGGGGACACCAGGAGCGACAACAGCGCCGACGCCAGCAGGGTGGCGAGCAGGACGCCTGCGGGTCCTTGCGCACGGCCGGACATGGCGGGTGTCCTGAGTGACAGTCCGGGTCCGCGACCTATCCGGCGGCGGTTAGGGCGGCCCGGCAGGGCCCCGCCCCCGCAGGCAAGCCCCGCCCCCAAAGGGAGCCAATCAGAATCCGAGGGGGAGGAATTCCTCCACCAGCTCTGCAACTTGTGAGTAACCCGATCAGTTTATCCATCTTCCCACAACTCCGCCCTGCCCTCTGTGTAGAGTGTGAATCTGTCCTAAATGGTTAGGTTGTTTTTAGCAGATGGTTAGGCCAAGACTAGAAGAAAATAAGCAATTTTCCTAAGTCACACTGCTATGGGGAAATACTGACTTCTTTATGATGCACTCAAACACCCCTTGTATAAGGATACCTGGCTTCTGAGAGCAAATCCATTTCCACCTTTGCCCTTTTCCCCTGTTTACTCACGATCAGCACCAAAGGACAGCAAGGTCCTAAATAACAAAGGGCAGAAATCCTCCATTCCAGATCTTATCAACTACCGGCCCAACAGTGTCTGAAAAATTGTTAGTCCCAACTAGAATTTGGCCCGACCTCGCCTGTTGGGACCTGTTTAAAAGTTCGTTTTGGTGTTTCACCTATTTATTGCTTCCGGCATCATCCTTGCTCTATGGGGAAGGGGCATTTCCTTTTGCTGCTTCTAGGACGTTCTCCAGTTTCCAGGGATGTTCTCTTAGGCTGGTACTTTAGGAATTAGTAAATAAACTCACATCGCTGGCTACATTCTCAGTCCGCCTTGAATTCCCACTGTCCTTGTTTTTCACTTTGCAATTCTAGTGACACCTGGCTCTCTGAGGCTGAGTTGTTTAACAGAAGCAGTTTCTCTCAGCTGCTGTGGGCCAGTAATGTGGACAGGTGTGAACTAAAGCCCCACCTCCACTTTCTGTTTTAAACTTAACCTCTACATTCGGACAACTACTTAGCCTAATAACTAATTGTGAAGACACCTCCAGTTCTTCAATTCCCTCTGGTGGCCAGATGTTGCTACACCGCATTGTTTTCCACATTCTGGTAAGAGTGAACAAGCCTCAGCCTGTTAGTATGCGGTGTGTGTGTGTGTGTGTGTGTGTGTGTGTGTGTGTGATATTAACACTTGAACCTAGTGCCCAGCCTCGGTACAGGTGAATTGAGACTTTTTTCTCTGCAATGTGCATGCCTCAAGTAGTAGCTAATAAAGCAGTAAAAGAGGTTCCTTTGGATTTGGCCACTTAAGCATGAGCCTAGATTGGATAATACTAAACCTCAATTTCCTGATCTTTAGAAAGGAGGGAAGACCAGCTCTGCCTCATTGGAGTTTTATGTGAATTTAGTGAGAGAATTTCTTTAAAATACTGAACACAGTACAAGGAACATAGACAGGAAGGCAAGACTCCTGCCATGTTTCCATGGGGCAACTTCCCAATGAAAAGCCTCCTTTTACCCCAATAAGCTCTTTCAACATTCCATGAAAAAACATGACAAACATTTTTTGTTGCTGTTGTTATTGGTCACAGGGTTTGAACTCAGGTCCCGGGTGTAGTCCCTGAGTTTTGCTCAAGGCTAGGGCTCTACCACTTTGAGCCACACAGCCACTTCTGGTTTTCTGGTAGGTTATTGGGGATAAGAGTCTTATGGACTTTCCTGCTGGAGCTGGCTTCAAACTATGATCTTCAGATCTCAGCCTCCTGAGTATCTAGGATTACAGGCATGAGCCACCTGCATCCGGCTGGTAAACATTTTTAAGTGCTGATATATTGCAAAAATTATAAGTAGCCTCCCTACCCCAAGAAAAATATACCAAAAAAATCAAAAACAAAAACAAAACTCAAAAGATCCCCATAAAATTTCATATCATTGTAACCTCTTCATACAGCTTAGTTTTGTACTACAAACAATCCCAATCACCTATGCTCCTCACCCACAAGCTTATTATGATCCTCATTTCCACTTTGATATTTTTAAAGTAATTTTCTATTTGACAGGAGGCATGTAGAGGTATATTGAGGGGCTGGGAAGGTGGCTCAGTGGTAGAGCACTTGCCTTGCGTGCATGAGGCCCTGGGTTCGATTCCTCAGCACCACATAAGCAGAAAAAAAAGCCAGAAGTGGCGCTGTGGCTCAAGTGGTAGAGTGCTAGCCTTGAGCTGAAGAGCTGAGGGACAGCGCCCAGGCCCAGAGTTCAGGCCCATGACCGGACCCCCCCCAAAAAAAGATACAAATTAGAGGTATATTGAGTCTCTTTCATCTCACTGGCTCAGATGCCCTGAAGGACTAGAGGTTATTGAATCACTTGATTAAGAAAATAGAGAGGATGCTAGGAACAAAGCATAGGCTGAGCTGGCTCTGCCTCCATGCCCAGGGAGATACTGGCCTAACTTTCTATATTATAATAGCAAGGCCTCCACAGGGAACTCATTTCAATACTTGAAGCACTGAATCTTGCTTAGTGAGAAGCTGACACTTCTCAAAGAAATCAGCTTCAATTATGTTCTGAAAAATGTTCACCAACTGTATCCTCATAAATCCACCAGTATTGGCAGATTTATTTCCTTCATCTTGATGAGGTCACTTTTCTTTTCTTCCATTATTATCTAAATAATGATATCTCATGCTGGGTTGGGAAACTCACAATTTCCCTAAAGAATAAAGAAGGATGGCCAGGAATTTATGTTTCTTACCATAGTTTTCTGCTGGCTGTTGATCTTTCTAGAAGCTTCCTTCTGTTGGTCTTGAGTGAACCAACTGAACACTTTGCCACTGTCTTCCTCACTCCAAGTGCAGCAAATTCTTGTTGAAGATTTAGGGTAGAGTTAGAATTGCAATGTGCCAAAGCCTATTATTACAACATTGAGTGTTAGAATTCCAGTCTAAGAAGTTTCTCAGGCTGACTCAAGAAAAGTGAAACTATTTCTCTTAAATGTGTATAGTAATTTAGCTCAATGACTTTCTCAGCCGAGGCACCCAGGTGATGAGTCTATTTCTTCACAACAAATAGGGCTTTTAGTCATGTTGGTAAAGGGAAACATTTCTCTACAGAAATTGTAAAGCACATTTTTTTTGGACTGGTACTAGGGCTTGAACTCTTACTAAGCTTTTTCACTCAAGGCTAGAGCTCTACCACTTGATCTATATATCCATGTCTAGCTTTTGCTGGTTAACTGGAGATAAGAATCCCTTGGACTTATGGAGCTGTGGCTCAAGTGGTATAGCACTGGCCTTGAGTAGAAAAGCTCTAGGACAATGCCCAGGCTCTGAGTTCAAGACCCAAGACTGGCATACACAAAAAAGAATCCTTACAACTAGGTATGGACGACTCATGCCTACAACTCTACTCAGGAGGCTGTAATCTGAGGATTGCAGTTTGAAGCCAACCCTGGGCAGACAAATCCAAGCAGAGAGGGAAAATCAGGAAAACAACTTCATTTGCAATAGTCTCAAAAAAATATTTGGGGATAAACCTAACCAAGGAAGAAAAAGACCTTTATAGCCAAAGCTATAGAAATTTGAAGAAAGAAATAGAAGACAACATCAGGAAACAGAAAGACTTTACATGTTCATGGACTAGTAGAATCAGTATTGTGAAAATGAGCATGCTACCAAAAATGACCTACCAATTTAATATAATCCTCATAAAAATTCAAAATCATCAGTCCTTTACTGAGATAGAGAAATCAATCCAAAAATTCATATGCAACAACAAATGACCTTAAATAGACAAACAACTTTAGGTTAAAACAACTTTAGGTGGTGTTGTAGTCCCACACCTTAAACTCTATTACAGAGGTATAATAACAAAAACAGCTTTGCCTTGGCACAAAATAGACCTGAAGATCAATGGAACAGACCAGAAGACGTAGAAATAAAACAATAGGCTTACAATTATCTGATATTTGATAAGGGAACCAAACATATATAATGGCCTCTTCAATAATTGGTATTGGGAAAATTGGGCATTCATATGCAGAAAATTCAAAGTGGCTCCCTGTTTGTTACCATGCACTAAAATCAACTCAAAGTGGATCAAAGACCTCAGCATTAGACCTTAAACTTTGAAATTACTGCAAAAGGAGGAACACTAGAAATCATAGGTATAGGCAGAAATTTTTTGAGAAGAGTTCTAAGAGCACAGCAGATAGAGATACTTGACAAATAGGATTACATCAAAATAAAAAGTTTCTGCACAGCAAAGAACATAGTTACTAAGGCTGAAAGACAGCCAATAAATTGGGAGAAGATGTTTACCAGCACACCCAACAAAGATAATGTAGTAGGAAGACCCCTACTCAGGCAGGCAAGCCCACCTAGTCGTCCGGAGTGACAGAGCCCACCGCAACAAAGTTGATATTAAAGAAGCAATTTTATTGAGAAGGTTCCTACACTGACCGGCCAGGGAAGCAGCACAGGCTCGGGAGCTGTACTGCGACCCCAAGCGGCCCACGTGCTTAGGTTTTTAAAGGCAAAAATCACAAGGTGAAGCCTGGTCACGTAGGCGACCAATGAGATTGTCACACACCCAAAAGATTGCACAGTCATAACAGACCACACGCAGGTGGCCGGTGAGGTTACACTTTGTCACATAATGGCTGTTTAAACCAGCCTATCACTTTTGGTTTAAATGACTCTCGAATTCAATGGTAAAGCGGAGCTTAAGGTAAATATACACAAAGGAGTTTAGTGGAGTTTAACATAAGCATGTGAAAAAGGTAGAGTTTATAGTAAACTCGGGATGTTGCCAGCATGCCAGCCAGCATGCCAGCATGAGCCAGATTACTGGCTACCTGTTTAATCGGTCAGTCTTTAACAAAACAATGAAGGTGGCGTCCCCTCAGATAATATCCAAAATATACAAGAAGCTCAAGAAACTAACCCCTCCTGAAGCCAATAAACCAATCACTAAATTGGAAACATTACTAAAGAGAGATTTCTCAGAAGAGGTAAGAATGGCAAAGAAGCATGTGAAGAAATACTCAACATCCCTAGCAATAAAGAAAATGCAAGTCAAAACAACTCTGAGATTTTTGTCTCACCCAGTGAGATTGGCCA